TCCCAGTCAAATATGCACTATTTCTTATGTGTGCTCTACCATACAAGTCTAGATTCAACACATACAAAACACTTTTTAAATGTATAAATAAAAAGGTGTAGCTTACAATTAAAAACAAGCAAAGTGCTACTTTTTATGTGATATTAAAGATTTGCTTCTCATAAAAAAATATGCACTAAGAAAATTAAAAGTGTTCAACAACTGGGAATATCATAATCCAAGATTCAATCATTTCTATATGGGTTTCAATTGTAACAAACTTAAGAATATTATGAGCCACTTATGCAAACCTTAATTTTAGCAGATGTCTCAATTGTAACAAACTTAAGAATATTTCTATCTGGGACTCTAGCACATGTCTCAATGCATTCAATTAAAATTTTTCAAAATTAAACTTTGACTTATGCAAACCTTAATTTTAGTAAATTTATAATCTAGCATCTTAGTAAGTCAAATCAATCATATTAAAAGAAGAGATACTGATTTTCTTGAGCTCACTTAGACTATGATTCTTATCATAGTCATATGTAATTTTTGAAGTTATGCATCTTAAAATTTAATACAAGTGTATAAGATAAATATAATGCATACATTTTAGAATAGTGAATTGGAATATAATGTGCGAGCATTTAAATATATTGCACACATAATGCAGCAAATGTCTAAATATAATGTATGTGTATTAAAACAATACTATTGTTGAATTCTAAATTGTGTTTCTGAAAAACACACTTTGAGAGTTAGAGCTGAGAGGAGAGAAGAAAGACCTGGAGTCAAGAGAGTGAAAAGTTCCTTTATTTATCTCTGACCTTCTACTTATAAGGATTTAAAGTTACAGTTACAAAAAGAATGAATCAATTATAATAACCATCCAAATAATTAAATTTCATTAAATGAGAATAACATTATAATACAAAGAAATACAATGTCTATCGACGGTCAGATGCTGTCATGAAAAACGACGACAAAAAAATGAAAAAATTGGATTGAAAAATTGTAAACCTGAAAATAACACACAGATTTATGTGGTTCGGCTAATTTGCCTACATCCACTGAGCTGCAAAGGATTTTATTAATTTTAGAAATTACACCATCGAGCGCTTCGAAGTTGACACGGAAACTTCCTTTCTCTTTATCTCTTTATTTATCTTAGCTCTCAAGAAGAGTTGGCTCAGCACTTATGACAAAACAAAAAAGACTATTTAAAGAAAACGAGAAAGAGGTAGGTAAGTTACATGTTCTATATATTTAACAATTCTCCCACTTGAAGATTGAGACACCGACTTCATCACCTACAGACTGCATCATCTGCTGGCTATACCGAACTTTTTCTTCAAACATGACATTCTCCACTTTCTTCCACCTCTGCAACTCATGGCTCCTGTCTTCACACTGGAAGACTAATTGAAGTTGAGCACAACTTCAGTTTCTCAAAAGTAACACTCTTAGTTGATATATCTTCGCCAATGTAGCCTTGTGCCTCCAAGCTCTTTTCATCAGCCAGTCATACCTTAGATCTATGACTGATTTAAGCACATGTCTCAGTGTATTTAGTATCCAGTCATCTAAGATTATTTCATCAGTCGTCATACCAAAGGTGGCTGATGGAAAAACCTGTGAATCCAATATCCAATCATAAACAAAACAGTTAACTGTCAGCAATAGTATCATGTATTTCTTTTGTTACTGCATTTGTGCTATCATTCTCTTTCTTTTTAAGATTCCTGCAATTCATTTTTATGTAGTAAATCTTGCCATAATTTCAGCAGATTACCTGCTGACTATACTTTGATTTTAATCTTTCTCTGTTTGAGTTCCTGTCTTGGGATCTCCCACTGGAATCAACAATTAGTGTAGACCTCGAACCTGAGGTCTCGCCAGAATCTTTTCTGTGCATCTCCTCAGTCAAAATCAAATCACAAATATCATCATATTACAGTTTGGATTTACCTACAAAACTACTAACTGTCATCCTCATGACTTCCAAACTATTTGACAATGATGCTAACAATATCAGCGCACATATCTCATCATCAAAATCAATTTCAATAGACAATAATTGATTTATGATAGTATTAAAATCATTCAGATGTAAAACAACATACACACATTCCTTCATCTGCAGGTTGAATAACTTTTTCATCAAGTATACCTTATTATTTACCGATGACTTTTCATACATACCTGATAAAGTCGTCTTTAGTCTTCTCCTTGATGACGTTGTGGGCAACAAATCTTCACAAGGTTAATCGTATAACCCCTATAACCTATCGATCCAACAAATTCCATTCCACCCCGTCCATTTTTTCCAGCTTCTTTCACAGAAACAAAAAAATGAAGTTTCTTCCCAAAGAGGTAGTCTTCTATCTGCATCCTCGAGCAACCAAAATCGTGCCATTAAATTTTTCGATCTCTGATGCCGTCACTTCATCTCTGGCCATCGTTCCTCATCAGATTTGAACCGGGGCTCCGATACCAATTGCTATGAAAAATAACGACAACAAAGTAAAAATACCGGATTGAAAAATTACAAACAAAAAAATAATACACAGATTTATGTGGTTTGGCTAATTTGCCCACGTCTACGGATCTGCAGGGGATTTTATTACTTCGGGAAATTACATCATCGAACGTCTCAACGTTTACAAGAAAACTTCATTTCTCTTTCTCTTAGCTCTCAAGAGGACTTGACTTAGCACTTATGATAGGCCAAAATAGGCTATTTAAGGAAAAAAAGGAGAGAGGTAGGTGAGATGTAGTATGTGAGGTAGGTAAGTTAAAGGCTCCATATATTTAACAAGATGCTTCAGTGTAGTTGGTCATGCCCGTCGATCGAATCGATCGATTTCAACTAGAGGACCAGTTTACCGATCAAAGGAAATTGTTCCATTCCAAATCGAGATCTATCGGTCGATAATCTGTCAGTTGAAAGATTCCGTCGGTCGAAAGCTTTTATCGTTTGATTCCGCTGTAAAGTCAATCGATGTCTTGGCTAGTGAATTTCCTATTATTTAGCCCGGAACTTCAATCGCCTGGGTCTTTATTCTTGGCCTCTCGATTTCTTTGAGATTTGTGTTGACATTTTTGTAGTATACAAATATGCATGTATTAAAATATTTTAAGCATAAATTGCATGTATTTGAAAATATTGTGCATGCATTTTGATACAATGAGGAATATAAGCGTGTGTATTCAAATAAAGCATGCATATTTGAAAATATTGTATGTCGAATTAAATATGATATGTGTTTTTAAATATGATTTATGTTTATTGTGTTGAAGTTGAGTTGTACAAGGTTAAATTATTGAGGGAATTTGTTTGACTGATTTTTTTTATAATAGTTATTTGGGTGAGTCACCACAACACCTAAAAAAATGTTATATTAAAGATCATCAAATTAAGCTTAAAATATCATATAAACAACACATATATATTATAATTCTCATGCGGGCATTCTAAATATTTGGCTCTGTGAACATAATGTATAATAAAAGTATAGGTTGTATCATACAAGATCATAGGGGTTGTAATTTATTGGTATGAGGAAGACACACATAATATATATAAAGACAACGATAATTTTAGATGTATTGGCTAGGATTATGAAGATGTCAACAAGTATACAAGTGTATGCTAGAAATAGACACATACAACTTATTAGCATGCAGACCTAGGGAAGCATATCATATATTGATATTTTGAAGTTGTGTGGCAAGCATGCAGTCATATCAAGAAAGTAAAGACATGCATGAGAATTGAAGGCATGATGGAATAGGGTGATGAAGGAATGCACTTTCCATATATTAATGCAATCATCATTAAAGAGAGAGTGGGAACATGATAAGAGTGATTTATAAGCTGTGTTAACTGTGTTTCCAACATGATAAGAGTGAGCAACCATTGATGTGATTACTGAAAAGAAATATACGAGCTATGATTTGATCATTCATACTCCTAGCTTACCCAACTTCATGCGCACAACAACAAATGGTGATAGGTGCCTTGTTATATGCTTGAAGTTGGGCAACAAAATGGCTTATTGAGGAAGTTGCTCATTGCCATCATCTACATTGCTCACCATTAGCACCATTGCCACTCATTATCATTGTTAGTCATTATTTTTAGCTATTGTTGCCCGTTGCAACCTCTGTGGTCGATCATCAACACTCATCATTGTATCCCCTTTACTCATGTCAAATGTTGCCACCCATTGCCCACTAGTTGTTGCTGTCTATAACAACCCGTAACCACTTCCCTAGACCACTTATTATCACTCAAATATATTCTTGTGATCTTATCCATCATAATAAAAATCACTAAAAATCACAACATTTAAGTTAAAATAAAATAAAGCGCCGCGTACTCATATCAGTTGGTCAGACCTCTGCTTGTCGATTTTCACAAATATAGAATGTGATATTCAAATTCTTAGGCGCATGTGGGTGGAGACTCCTACATTTTAAGAAAAAAAAAATTATATAAAAAAAAAAAGACAAATGAAATTACGCTCAAACTATTTAAGCACCTCACAGCGAGGAACGCGTTGGTGATAATCGCCGCTCACCTCCTCCCCTTCTCCCACCGGCGACCGACACTCATCCCCTCCAAATCCACCTCAAAG